GTCAGCTGTGCACACTTATTTAATCCCACCCCTTTTCCATAAGTTATCGATCAATATTTAATCAGCCTCCTTACTGATACAATCTACAGTAATATTAACGAACATATGTCTGATATAATATATACATCATCATAAAAATTCCTAAACAGAGGTATTCACTGAATATCAACATTTTCCCTTTCTTCATAACTCTTTTTAAACCGTTTTATGTTTGGGCATTGCTTCAACTCAACACTCTGTTGAAACACAAAAGCTTTTTCTGGCAGTACGTACATCCCATCCCTTAAATTATAATTTCCTTCTCCCCCCCCAAAAAACCCCATACTCTGAATATTACCTGGTCGTTCATTATCTTTTGCTTTGAACAGAATTTGTGCTGTTTGGAATTTCACATCAGCAAATTTCAATATTTCAGACTGCAAGAAAAGTGTGTTTGTCTGATCCCTATAACCTGCGTTGTGGATGATTCGAACCACATTTTTTGAAGAGTAAAAAGTGAACGTAATGTACTTTTATAGTTATTGCCCCAGACCTCTGCACAATTGCTTAAGTAAAGTGAAACCAGTGAACAGTAGAGAGTATGAAGTGAACCTGCTTTGCCTTGTTTAGGATTGCAATGCTTCTTCATACTTTGGAATGAATATATCTTATGTGAGCTCTCCAGTTAAGTTTTTCATCTATTATCAACCCACAAAATTTATTTTCACTGAAATGATAAATTACAGATGTATGTAAATGGTTTTAAAATAGCCTCAATAGCTTTTTTAAACCACTATCATATCAATATCATTACAGTCCAAGGATTTCTGATGTTTACTTTGTTTGACGATTTCAATAACTTCATTTTCATCAATGGCTGTGAGAAACATTGAATAAGGATTTCATAAAGCCTTTATGTTAAACTATTTTTCCTTTTTTTTGCATTTAGTTATTAGCTAATGCTAGCAAAAGAAATGTATATGATCACACATCTAGTTCTAAGTAAAAGATTAATAAGATACTAGAATCTCACTCACCAAAACTGAAGCACAAACATGTCCACATAGAAGCCCTAAAATGTATCATATCATTTATTTAAAATGCTCTAAATGTTGCTGAAGGCACAAAGAGTGGAGCTATC